TCAGGGAGTCTGAGTTTTTGATCACAAAAGGATTCTCAACCGTTGTAACAGGAGTACGTAGAGACATGTTTAAGCCTGACGAGGAGGCTACCAAGCAACTCCGAAAACCTGTACCGCTTCACGTCGGAAAGGAAGTCTACCAGTAAGGGAGTGAATCTTACCCCAGGTCTTGGTGGGAGTGTACTGAGGAGCTTAGAGACTGCCAAGCTTCTGAGCTCAAACTTCCAGGCCAAACCTAGCACTGACGCCAAGTCCACACCGAATCGCTACGACGCTGACGAAACCATTATTATTTGTCCCTTGAGTTCCCAATGCAACGTAGGGCTTCAGTAGCACGTCTCCAATGCACTCTGTTCTCTGCAATCTCTTGAACCTGGCTCCAAAACTGCCAACAAGCTCTCACTTCTTCCTCGCATGGTCTCCTCCATGTCACACTCATCTGGGACGCCCAACTCGTCGCTTCCCATGTAAGGTCCACTCGAGTGCCTGGCCTGGCGCATGATGTCCCCAGTTGGCCTTCTCAGTGTATGTCCAATCCATCTCCACTTCCTGCCACTGCATGTTTGTTGAGTGATATGTTCTTGGTCGATTACCTGCCCGCCAGAGTTCTTGTTACTTATTCTTTCTGGCCATCTGAGCCTCAGTAACGAGCGTAGGCAGTTGTTGATGAATGTCTGTAGTTTGTTGGAAATGCCTTTCGTGACGCTCCAAGTCTCTGACCCGTACAGAGGCACCAAAAGTTTTGAGTCCAGTGCATGTTTAGTCTCTCCAAGATGATGCGGCTAGATGTTTTGCTTGCTCTGGGTGGACAGGAGAGTGACTCCGCGCCAGTCCTCGCAACGGCCTAGGTCGCCCTTCTCCGGCAGTTTGACAAGGTAACCTCCATTCCAATCAATGGCCAGGTACCTTCCCTCCCTTCCACACCCCCTGCAATAATGGTGTGAGCATGTCCACTGCTGTCTCTGCATCTGTTTTCAGTGCTTCTGGCGGGATTCCATCTGGTCCTGCTGCTTTCCTACATTTCAGCAGCTTTATAGCGTTCAGGACTTCCACTTTTGTGGGAGGATTTGTGCTCACTTTTAATTCTGCAGCTGGGCTGCTGGTGGTATTTCTGCACGAAGTGCAGGTAGTGGTCGATTCAACAGCGTCTTGAAGTGATCGACTCATCGTTTCCTTTGTTTCTCTTCTGTGGTAATTATACTTCCGTCATCATCTTTTATTGGTTTCATCTGTGTTGATCTGTCCTATCCCAGATAGTAACCTGGTTGTTTGATATAATGTTGTCAGGTCTCTGTCTCTCCTACCAGCAGCCTGTTCTGCTTCACCTGCCAATGTGTCGTAGAAGTGTCTTTTGTCTTTCCATGCACTCTTCTTCACTTCTTTGTCCAGTGTTTTATACATTGTACTCAGTTCCTCCTGTCGTTGAGCATCCTTGCACTTGCTTATCCTCTGCTCCACCATCCTCTTCTCCCTCCACTACCAGCTTCCATGTGTCCATCGAGATCCATTCCTTGTCTTCTTTCTTCTTCCTTCCTAATACGCTTATTCAGGTTTCTTTCCACATCTCTTTCAAAGAGTTCCAGTGCTCATCCACACAGGTTTCTCCAGGGATGTTCCTCGATATCTCCCATTTTGTCTTCATGGCTGGCTTGAAGATATTCCTTGTAGTTTCGTTCTTCACTTTCTGTTCCGCGTGTTCAGCTTCGACAGTGGTCAATCACCAACTTCTGTAAAGGCTTTCAACTTGATTTTGAAGGTAGGTTTTTTGCACTAGATAGTGGGTGGTGTGAACCTACATCTGCTCCCCTTCTTCATCTGGTCTGGTGTCAAGTAGGCTGACTGCGTCTCCACCTACTTTACACTGGGTAAAGTAGATCTGATTTTTGGTTTAGTGTGTCCCGGTATCTGGTGAAATTCATGTCGCTTGCTTTGTGGATATCCTTGTGCTTGAACACAGTGCCTAGCCTCCAATCACCAAATCGTTGAATACACAGAATTCTGCAAACAATTCTCCTTTCTTGTTCATCACCTCACTGAGCGCCTCTCTACCCACGGTTTGTTCTCATCCTGTGTTGCCTGCTGCTAGTTGGGCATTCATTTCACCCCACCCATTAGAATTTTGATATCACCAACTGGAGTGGTGTCTTGTCCAGTGTTGATTGCAGTTGTCTGTAGAATTCTTCCTTCTTCTCTTCATCTGCATTATTTGTAGGTGCACAGCGTAGCACTCTATGATTGTGACCTTCCTTCCTTTTAAGTTGAATCCATCTTGCTGTCATGATCCTGCAGGAGGAGATTGGTTTCCACTGCATGACAGTGAGCCCTCGATGCTGTTGGGGACATCATGATAGTCAATCTATAACTCAGTGTGCTCGCGGTTGTTGTCTGGGTGACAATATCGGAGTAGATTATTGATCCTCTAGTTGACGGTTTGGAGGGTCCACCCCCATCCCATCTGCCTTCGCATATTCCAAGCACTTCAATGTGACACCTTCTCATCTCGTTTGCAATGTGGGCTGCCTTGCCTGGTTCAAACATCGTGCAGACATTCCATGTCCCCTCGTTTACTTTCGCTTTCATTGGGAGAGAGAAGCCACATCGACCAACTGGCTTCCCTAAGGCAGGCCTTCATCAACCGGGTCATTTCACTTCTCCGATTCCAGTGAGGAATAAGTTCTTTTTTATTTTTTATATTTTGTTTGTGCTGTGAAATTTGTTTAGCGGTTATATTTGTTTTCCGTGGTAGGGTTGGTAGCCGTATGCCCGACCTTCCCTCTTTACCTGGGCTTAGGACCGGCTAGTACCTAGTTAACTAGTTAACCAGGCGAGGTGTGACAGGGGTATTAGTTGTTCATTACGAAACCATGAATAACCAATACCCCTGCCACATCTCAATCACAGAAAAAAGTGTCCATGAAACCTTATAGACTACATCTGGGCAAGTCCCCGGGCCACGATAACCTAAAACCGGCATTTTTAAAACTGCACCGAAGTACCTGCAAAACCGCTCCGCAACCTCTTCAAGCATTTAGTACAGTCATGCAAACTCCCTAAAAAATAGCAACGCATCGTCTTCAAGGGGGAGGAGCAAATAGCCCTGGCGGTTACGGACCAGTCGCTCAACCCTCCGTAGTGTAGAAAGTGTTAGAAGGACTCTTAGCTGATACCGTCTGGGAACTCACCAAACAGGGAAAACACTGTGCGTGCAGCTCAGCACGGATTTCGGGATGGTTTTTCACGTACCACCAACCTGCAAACCACGTGGGACGATCGGACACTCAGCTGGGACAACGGAAAACCAGTACATGTTGTTTTTCTCTACCCAGCCAAGCATGTGACAGTGTCTCACCCACGACTCCGTTCCACAAGATCATGTCACCAAGTATAAGTGGACCCAAACTTTCTTGGTTCAAGGAGTATGCCGGGAGGTAGGCGGTTCCAAAGCAAGGTAAACAGAATAAGGTCGGAGTGGAGACCATCGACGTCAGAAGTATCCCAAGGAGCAATCATAGGACCACTTCCGATCCTCCTGTCTTCCAATGATCTTTTACACAGAATATCTCCATCCATCCTCTTCTTCGTTGGCGACATTAAAATTTGGAAGGTAGTAAACGACGAAGCCGACTGCGCGGCACTACAAAAGGACTTGCAGCAACTCGAACTCTGGTCGTCAGAAAATGGCTTGAGCTTCAACCTGGAAGGGTGCAAAATAGTGCACACCAATAAAAATGAAGCAAGTATGGCAGACTTCCAGTACATGTTAAGCAGCCGTACTATCACCATAGTGTCTGGTGAGAGACTTGGGGCTCAGCTCCTCCGACGCCAACAACAAAGATATGACAGCCAGAGAAGACGCAGTTTCGCGCTTTCTGCATAGACGGCTAGGAGCTTTCGCCTCCGAACTCTTCCTCACCGGTTTCTAATCCTACTTATGGCTGCACCTACAGGTCTCCAATACGGCGCTCCCCCCAACACTCAAGAGAGACTCCAGTCTCCTCGACAAAATACAAAGAACTGTAACAAAACCAGTTGCTAGATTAAAGGGGAAGATATATCCTGGAAGACTAAAACACCCCAACTTGTTCACCTTGGGTTGTTGCAGCAAGGAGGGTGACCTCATTATGGCCTACAAGATAGCCCATCAAGCAAACCACGTAGACAAATTGGCCTTGACTGCAATACAACGACCATCAAGAGGAAACCACACTAGGAAAGCACACCAGAGAGCCAATGTCATGCTCTGGTCCAATTTCCCCCCTCCCCCGCAGTATGTGCTTCATGGAATGCCCTATAGCGATGTCGATGGAGGCCCCTCAGTTGACCCATTCAAAGACTGTTAAACAGCTATGTCACTCCGCATGGTCCACCATGGACGTACTTGGTGAATCACTAAACTCACTATCCCATCCTCACCTACCCTCTGCCTTCTAATCGCTATCTCTCTCCTTAACACACCTACATTGCCTACCGATTCTTCCCTAGAAAATAGGCGTATGCAATCTACCTTTAACTTTCGAGCAACTCCCACATGCCCTTTCCTCCTCTTTTCTTTTTTCTCTTTCCCCGTTTTTTCGTTCTTTTCCTTTTCCTTTCCCCACCACCACCTAACTATTCTCATTCAGGTAACTACACAGGTAGGAGTCAAGACAGTCCCCTAACCGTCCCAGCAACCCGTAGCTCCCGATCACCCTATAGATTGCGACTTATTAACACACGGAACACACACCTCACCGCGGACATTTCCTCATCCACCTGGGAAGTAAAGCGAACAAATCGAACCAAGCCCTAAGAACTAGACTCAAGAAATCAAAAACTACCAGTTTTCCACGCTAGCAATATGAATGTTGGATATTGAGAACTGCCATCTTTTCTGCTTTCATTATTTTTAATATTGGTTAACAGATGGAGAAGCCTATGGTATACTGCTTCTGAACACCGAAATCAGTTAGGTCAAACATTCTATTCCATAACCAGACATTGGAACCACACGAACGTTCCGCGGGTATTTTCAAAAGTACGGTACGGGTGTTTAACGTTTTTGATCAGTAGTGTGTTCTGATAAACTTCTTTTCCGCTATCTTACATTTTCCCACATTTGAAACACTGTTATGGAGATTTAGTAAACTTCACCCGAACTGTGAGTTGCAAAACTTCAGACAGCCTGCCTTGATAAATGAACTTAGGAAAAAATTTTTTTCTAATTCTGATATATTACAATTTGAGTGGATATTATTAAACATTTTGGACCAGACACTTTCACCCCCTGTTAGTAATTGGACAATAAAGCCACATATTCGGACCATATATCTATCTGGTGTTTAAGGTTAGGTATGTGAAAGTAATGCAAGCAAAAGCGGAAATAACGTGGTTCATTGTGGACCAAAGGTTGGCCTTTAGTTCATTAATAAACTAAATTCTAAATCAGAGTATTTTCAGCACTCACCAACTTTATTTCCGAATTGTATAGTAATTATCATTGAACACTTAAGTACTTAGAGTTCACATTCTGGACTCCAATTTCGGTTCGGGGATGAAAAGTCATGGGTTTGTCTTTATTTAGTAATATCTTTAGTTGTTATTTCCTTCCCCGGACCGTCCGTTCGTGGACCATATTTTATGGATTTTAATGGCTGTGTGGAGTATAACAGCGGCCCATTGTTCTTTTTTTTTTTTTTCTAGTACCAGACATAGATTGATGATTGTTACATAAGTCTCATAAACTTGTTAAAGGTAAGTAAAACAGTGGTCTTATTCTAGACTGGTGAGATATACAATTTGCCGAGCTTTTTAAAAACAGTATAGCCGGTTCTTTGACTGCATCCTCATATTAAGAAGAGGTGGGGGTAAGTTGTCTGAGTCGAATAACTTATACCACTTAAGTACTTGTAGCTCATGTGTGGATATGTTTAGCTGACCATTGATCACATGCCACTCAACTCAGCGTTGGCGAAATAGGCTAAATAAATTATCTTACGAAGCACTTGGCTTCACGTTTCAGGGGCTTTTGAGGGCTGGTGGTTGGTACACCGTCTACTTTACAGACCGTCTTACTAGTACCAGGCTTCTTGCTACCGGTGCTTTGCGTGACATGAGAAAGCTTTCAGTTATTGTCAGATGCAGCTGCATGGAGTTGTGGTTCATTGGTTTAGGGAGCTGACTTCCAACCAGTGGGTCGCTGGTTCGAACACTGCTCCACATATCGAGGTCTGGCCAGCCATTTATTATCACTAGCCCTCACAATAAGTATAGTTCATTGCCTACTGCACAAATGTGCACAAGGTTGCTGAGTGCATTTCGATTTCAAGATGTAACTACTACTTTCACCACACTCGTAGGTCTGACAAAGTGATTTTCTCTCTCCCGTACACAACTTACGCGCACCACTGTACTGTCTGTCTAACGGTATAGGCCCAAAGATGTCTAGAAGTTGCAATTCGCAATAACCTGCTTGACCTGTATTTTTAATAGTATCTTTTCAGTGCACCCAACGCTCATCTATACTATCTGGAAGTTCGATAGATAACCTTGAATCTAGCTAGTTATAGTACTTAGTTGTAGTGCTATGAGTGATCAATTTGCTCAAGTCGACTTGTTTAGGAAGTAAATTTTTGGCGACCACCTGAATGCAAGATGAATTTAGCGTAATTAGTCCAAATAGGTGCTTCAGAAGGAGCGGCACTCTTAAATACATCCATTACATTGATAGCTAACTGCAATGTAATCTATTGCAGTCCTGTTGTTGTCATGTTGTTTTGTCCTAAGTGCCTACCGAATCCAATCGGTCATTATGTGATGTGATCATGAAGCTAAGAGATTCAATATTATGATGCGATTTGATTGATGGTGGTTGTAGACAGCCAACAGGACTACATTGCGAAATGATTGGTAGAATCCACCAGTACTTAGGACTATGCAATATGAATTTGGTTACTCTCTGCTGGCTAATCAATATATCTAATACAGTCCTACAGGTTGACCGTCGCTTAAATATATCAGCGGTAGCGCCTACCCCAACATGGAAGTCTGCATTCCCCTACACGGCTCAGAATAACAGCCTGACCGATAGTTGCTACCTTGACGTGAGGTTCGGGTTTGTGTACCACAATGACTCAACAAACTATGCTGGTGAAACGCTTGTTCCTTCGCGGTTCTAACATGCCACAAAAGTGGTAAGAAAAAAGCAGTTAGCGTTGTAGTGTAAACTACTACATTATAATGAGGGCCTGAAGTCGAAGTCGTAATGCTGCTGACGAGCTGGGGTGTAACAGCAGTGAAGTGTATCTCCTGCATGACCAGCAGTGCGACGCTGATGCTACCTTCTCAACAGAAGTGGTCGTCAGGAAAGTTTGACCTCACAAATAACTCGCTCTACCATGCCTCAAGGTCTTCCGGCGCTGGTGGTATGGGTTCCCTCTATCCGGCGCCAAAACAACCAAGCCTCAAAACAGCATCCCTTAGAAGGCTGTGTGTGACAGGGCTGTAGCAGATGTCCCATGGGCTCTGCGCCCACACAAATCTTTTTTTCTTTTACGTAACTTAAGAAGAAATAGCCTTCCAAGGTGTGGATAGTTGGGAAGTGTCCACCACCCACACACTTCCAGTAGTACAAAAGATGCATTCAAACACAACCTGTCCTCCTCAACTATGTCTCATCCTCTGCCTTCACCTCATGGTACTAATATTAGGCTTCTGACACCTTCCCCAACCTCTCACTCTCCAACCATTGCCAACGTTCAAAGCTATCGAAACCTTTTTCCTAGTCTCCTAAGACACCGCCATTGATTTCATGTAGGAGCTTTCAACGTTCGAATTCTATGCTAAATCGGACAGCTGGCATCGCTTTCCAGAACTCTGGAATCTCGAGCCATGGATGTGTGCTGTATCTGTGAAACACGCATACAGAATCCGAGTGACCTCACCTAACCAGTGTGGTAAATCTTTGAAATTCAACTTTCTAGTATCCGGAGTCCTAGTGACTAGCTGTTGTAGACTCACTGGTGTAGGCATAGCATGGAGTTGTAGAGCGGAGAGTGCGCTTGTTGACTGGATACCAGTAAACAGCTGTGTATGTGTTGTTCGACTGAATGTATCTATAAGAAGTAGGAAGGATTGCGAGATTATCCGATGCCTATTCGTAATTCCCACCTAAGCGCCTCCCAACTGTAGTTCAGATTATTCGAAGGATGAATTTTATGAGGATCTGTCAATTTTGCTACAGAAAGCGAGATTTTCAGATGAAATCGTAGGTGACTTTGGCGATCACGTAGGGAAGCGGAAGCAATCTGGGAGGTATTTACGGAATCCCATTACAACGAACTGACAGCAGTAATCGTCTGTTGCAATTTTGTTCCGGCAGTCATTTGTTTCTGACCAGCACTAACTTAGGCATAAGGAGAGGCATTATGTCACATGGTATCCACTGACACCAAACCAACGGTGGACACAGATACATCACACTGCTACAAGCCATTGTTGGAGAGGATCGATGGAGAATTGCCGTTATTTCTAAAGTACCACTTTTGACTCTGATCACGCACTACTACAGGCTCGTGTTTGTCTGCATCTTCATGGACAAAGTAAACAGGAGGCAGTAAAGACTGTCCGTGTTCAAATGCGATGAGGATGCCAAGTATGCATTCATGGAAGAGATAGTTAAGCATTTGTCTGAACGTGGCAGCAATGCTGATCCAGAGAAAGCCTGTCGTGATGTTAAGTCTACTGTAGAAACAGTGGTAAAGACACCCGAATGTTAGAAAAAGTCATTGGGTTTTTGCGACGTCATCCGGACTGATTGGTGCAAAAAGATTGATTCCAGCTGACTCTGACCAAAATAAAGAGCAAAAGCAACTTAAACGTAATTTGATGGTTTCAGACTGGTGTACTTCACTGATCGTCCCAGTTTATAAGAAAGAAGAGGAATCTGGTGACAACCGTAAGGGGATTAGTTTGATCAATTTTGTGTCCAACCTCCTAGGGTTCATAGTTATCCGAAGCCTAACTGAAGCTCGAGAACAGCAAACTCGAGAAAACCGGGCACGTTTCAGACAGACCTGAACAAGAGTGCATCGATGAGATCTTCACCCTCGGATAGGTTCTGGTACACAGACATGCCTACCGGCCAATGGTCGATACTTGCCACAATTGTTGACCTCAAGGCTACATTTGACTCAGTCGACTGTGAGATGTTGTGGCAGTGTCTGTGAAGAGATCACCGAGCAAGCCTATAATACTAATTAAAATCTCTCTACTCGAACTCATGCAGTCTTCTGAGGGTTCATGGAGAGTAGTTATGTAAATTGAGGACAACTAGTGGTATCCGTCAGGAATCTCCACTGTCACCGTTCCTATTTGACTTCGTCATAGACGTACTAATAGATATAACTTTAAGTAAGTCTGACTTCAGAGGGATATATCTACTCCCCGAAGTCACTTGGTTAACTTGGAGTATGTGGATAATGTTGTCCTGATGGTTGAAGACGCTGACAAAATACGTGGTCTTGTGAATGGGTTGAGCAGAATCCGAGTGTGTTTGACTGGCATGTATTTCGATGTCACCTGTCAAATGTAAGATGATACTTCAAGATTGGTCTGCTGCAAGTACTCCCATTTTAATGATAGGTAGTGAAGTGGTGAAATGTTTCGACCATTTCACTTACTTAGCAAGTTGCATCAGCCCGAACGGGTTGGTTGCTGTCGAAATCTCAGCTCGGATACAGTAGGTCCGTTCCACATTTGCCAGTTTTGGTCACCCGTGGCACCAAATGCCGCGATATCTGACTTTCTGTCAAAGGACAAATATACTGCATTGCAGTCCATTCTGCCCTGTTGTACGACTGTAAGACATAGCCGTTAAAATTAAAAGTCACGAAGTGATTACTGGGTTTGATCACGTGTCTTCGTAGTATTGCTTGTGAATAGTGGAATCAGCGTGTGAGCAATGTTGAGGTGAGGCGAAGAGTACTAGGCAAGACAGGCAAGTCAATTGATGAGGTTGTGAACCTTAGTTGACTGAGATGGCTCGAGCATGTATTGAGGATGCCGAGTCACAGCCTACCCTGACGTCCCATGTTTTGGGAAGTTGAAGTAGGTTCGATTACAGTTCAGTGTGGCCACACCATGATATGGTACCACTTGATGAAGTCCCTGACTTTTGGTCTGAGTTGTGTGTGAAGATGCAGGCTGTCTTGCTTGAGTCACAGAAAGTAGAGGAATCAGTGGTTGCTGACTTCTGGTGACATGTCTGGGAATTGGTCACAATGACGCAGATAATATATACTCCTTGAAATTTAATGCTTGATTATTCACGCTAAGGTTTATCTTCGGGCTTTATATTCTCTCACACAGCTTTTTCTACTTTGATATCACTCTTTCTCTATCCACCTGTTCTTTGTGTACTACTGTGAAGTGTGGCAACTTGAACTGATGCGCCTGTGTGCGAGGTTCTGCATTGGCTTTCTCAGTCAGTAAAATTGTTTAAGTGTTACGCCCATTTTTCCAGTCGTCTCTTTTGTGAATGAATCAAAAGTCCGTCGTTTTCTGCTGTAGTCTCACTAATCATTGACTTTTTCTCCAGTTTCCTTGTTACTCAGGGAGAACAGAAATTTCTCTGTCCGTTTGTACAGAATACATGGAATTACACTCGATTACAGATTTAGACACCATTGGTTGGCTGTCTTCCTTGCACTGTAGATGTCATTGTTCCGCTGGTTTCAAATACAGCAAATATTTATTTATTTACAGTTCATCCCTACACACTGCTTTCATTAGGAAAGGCAGAAAACCAGTGTAAAACCTCGTTCACAAATGCATCGATTCAAATTTCCACGCTTCACAGTAGTATGCAGAGGACGAGTGGATAGAAAAAGACCGATATGAAAGTAGACAAAGGTGTAAGGAAGAAAAATGAACTTGGAAATGAAGGTTAGCGAAAATTCCTAAGCTTCGGAAGACGTTAAAGTGCGAATACATCTGTTGCATTATAACCGATTTCAGCCATTTCATCGGTGGTCTCCAACCATTGATTCCTATCACCTCAGGGACTCTAGCCGGGTGGTCTACACCTTTATACGCGGCCCAGACCAACAGTCAGAGACTTCATTAACTGGTACAACGTCTTGGTTATATTGCTTAATGTACTTGCATTTACTTCTGTTTTGGTTCTCATTCACCTTTTAGTGCTTCGATACTGATTGTAGACTGAAAAGAATATTTGTTAGTCATCAGAATGTTCAGATTTAATACTCTTAAAAGTGTAACTCAACAACTACCTGCGGGTTTATTAACGTGGGTATTAGCCAAATCTACTATTAAGCTGCCCAAACTGTGGTAGATCGTGCAAGTTATTAACGAGTAGTCCGCTGGTTGAAAGTTAACTGCTTAGACAAAAGATGTACGGCATCACATACACTTGCTTCATTAATGAAAGAACCAATATTGGTGGATTTTGTAATGTCCTGAATATCTCTTTTTTTACCTTTAAGTTAGTAGGAAATTCTTTCTAAATTTAAATCATGCACTGAAAATGTTGATGTATTACTTGTGTGTGGATATTTTAATCTTCGTGTTTTACTTTATAATTCTCTTTGTTCTTTGTATTGTTCCACCATTAAAACTTGTTTTCATTTCAGGTTTTGAACGTCGCTTTGTTGACTTTCTTGATGTACTTGAAAATCAGTGCATTTAACTAATAATCTCTTATTCATTTCGCTCATAATGCTGGAGGTTAGTTACTCGAATATACTTGAAGTAAAATATTAAGTGTGCAGCACCAGGTGTTGAGGATGCAAATGTATGGGGTCTTGTGAGTTTAAAGAAAGGTGACAGAAGAGCACAAAGAAAAATCCTAAATGAGTTCCATAGAAATAATGAAGTTTTGGATGAGACTGATGAGATCCAGGATGCAAAGCAAACTAGAAGGCTTGCCTTTAGAGGAGTTAAACGACAGTTAAATCTCTGGAAAGGACCAGTGCATAAAAATCGCTTAGCAGAGCAAATCGTTTTTCCAATAAATGACAAAGATATCGTTTTGTCAGGTTCCCAGGAGGCTGCAAAATTAAAGGAGCAACTTCATATTAAGGACCTCAAGAAAAATCCAACAAATTTGCAAGGAAAGCTATATAGTGCTTTATACCGAGATGATAATATAAGGTTAGCCTTTTTTGATGCTGTTATTCTTTAGTTTATCACAGGAAAAACCTGATAAAGCAGCTAAAATGGTTTCCAAGATGTTGCTTGAGAAGATTGCTTTGCGTGACAGGGAACGTTTCTTACTTGCTCGAGCTGCTGCTCATAATAAGCGCCAAAATAAAATAAAAAGCAAACGCTTTCATCGACATTTGAAAGGGCGTACAATGAAGGAGTATGAAAAAGAAACTGAATCACTGCGCCTTAATAATCCACGAAAATTTGCTCAACGCCTCATCAACGCTGAATTAAGTCGAGTCAAAGAGAGAGCTAGTCTGAAGCACAGGGGCGGTAGTAAGTTCGCTAAGCTACAGAAGCTAAGAGCCAAGTATGACACAGAGGTAAATTTATATTGACATGTCTCATCAGTTCTTAGGCCAGAGCAGCTGTAGCAGATATGCATGAATTATCCAGGGAAGTTACGAGAAGACCTGACCTAGACCTATTATCAGACACTGATGAATCCGACGTTTCCATTTCTTCAGAATCTGAAGCCGAATCTGAAGAGTCCGATTTCAATTTAAACAACAGTGATGATGATATCACTAGCAGTTTGAATGGAGTTACTCAGACTCTTGGGTGGTGGCAAAAGGTACAATAATATTGCTTTTTTCATAAAATCTAACTTTCACAGCTAAAAACGTTTTATAACACTTGTCTATAGCTGTATACAACACTTTAACTTCGTGTGCTGGTTCATTTTCAACGACAAGTCAATAACGCGATCTTTATGAATCGTAAACTGATTATCAATTGTATCTGCACCACACTATAGTTGTTTCTTAACGTCCACCTGAACACAGTATTTTGGAGTTCCCTTTGGAGAATTCACCATATAAAAAAGGATATGCAGCTGAACCCTTTTAGGTGACTTTACAGTTTTTCACTGAACAAGATTCCTCAACAGCCGACTTTCCATATTTATAAGTATGCTAGTTATATCTTTGCAATCCTTTAAGAGGTTAAGTTAGAATAACACTGAAGTGAATGTTACTACATTTCATTATGGCATATCTTGTCGTTTATTTTCGCGTAATCAGGAGTAAAATTGGAGTATTATTATCGTCATTTAGATCACTGCCATTAACCAGTTAGTCAGCATCAATATGGCATTACTGTGCACCAAGATGAAAGATGTAAAAATAAGGAGAAAGGTTGTCAAAAGTGGTAGATAGTTGTGAAGAACGAACAGAAAGGGATAAAACAATAGCGAGATTCCGGATGATGATTAAGATTGAGGTAATGTGTGGATGCGTCTCTGACACTGAGTTGGATTCTGAGGGATGTCATGTAGCCTCAAACCACCGATTTAAGTTTCCACACAGACACTAACTGAGAAACCTACATTTTACTGCACGACTCAACGACAGTTGGATACTTTTTGACCGATACCATGTTTTAGTCTGTGGTTTGAACCTACTTCTGCTTACTTTGTGCTCTGGTGTATACGGCGGTTATAAATGTGAAACACATGTTCTTTTTGTCTGAGTTGTTGATGGCTTACAACGCACATTAAGTGGTTTGCATATTTTACCTAAGACTGTACACCTGACTTCTACGTTACCGACGTAATGCTTCCACGACACAGCCTATACTTCAAAGGGAATCGTTTTCTGGAACGGCTAGGACAGCGCCTGTTTCTTTAAAGCCGAATGCATCAGCAAATGAACCAGAGTCCCACGATTAACAGGGTTATTATCAATAGATCATAAAATACGAGACTGACTGTGATTGGCCAGAGCAGGTCAGCTGGATTAATTCCATGTAGAGGGTTTTAGACACCTTTTAGATTTTTCAATAGTCATGTTATGCACCCCATTGACTGACACCAGTTGCTTGTTACCAGAGATATCTCTTCTAAGTTTACATATTTTCATATCTAATTTCTAATGTTAAGATAATGCTGCCAAAATAATTGGTTTGAGTGTTGGCTTCATATTTGTAATAGGTAGTTTCATAACTTGTGATAACCGAAGTTTTAATGTCATAATAATATCATACGGTTTACACTAGTGTAATCTAATAATGATGAGTTTTCCCTCTCAATTTATTTTGATATTAGGAGCCTACTAAAAATAAGCTTAAGGATTCATCTCAGTTAACTGTTGGGGCAGTACTTTCCACCGAATCAGCTGAAGAAGTATTGGGAAAAAGCGAAGTCAACCAAGTGGTTTTAAGTGAACCTATATTGTCTAATAATGATGTTACGATTGAAGAGTCAGAGGTAGTAGATCCTAATGCAGAAGGCTTTTTCCATGCTCTTCAAGAAAGCTTCGCAAACGATCCAGCTTTACAACAGAAGTTTTTGGCAGAGAAATCTGAAACGGCGAAAGAAGAAGCACCACAAGATATTGATACTTTTCTTCCTGGATGGAACTCCTGGACTGGTCCGGGGACTGAAGCGGCCGATGAAAAAAAACGAAAGGCTAGAATTATACCTGCGCCTAAAATAAAACGAGAAGATGACAAAAAGTCTCACGTAATTGTTAAACGGCGAGTGAATCAAGAATTCAAACAACATCTGGTATGTTGTTTATAATACTTTCATTTACATTTAACATGTTTACAACCCTAATGTTCTTTTATGCTAAGTTGTTTTTTTTCAAATTGTTATCAGGTCAAATCTATTCCATTCCCATACAACACACCGGAACAATTCGAGGCTTTCATTTCCCAACCAATTTGTAGAGAGTGGACTACTGAATGTTCACATCGTGAACTAACACGTCCCAAAGTAACAGTACAATCTGGTCGTATTATCCGACCTATATCAAAGTCTGCAGCTTTATTGCGTGATAAAGATATTGAACGTTTCACTAAACAAAAAAAGATTGTTTGATCTACTCTACAACATATATTTATTTATACTCAACTTTTTACGAGTTAGTGGTTAAAACTCACTCCGAATAATAATAATAAAGTATTTATTTTGGAGGGTGTTTATTTGCCTTTGAGATAAATTAGTCGGCATGATTTAAAAAAACTTCCTTGTCGATGGTAAAGTAGTTGTGATGATCTTTTTCCACGTGTCACGTTCTTGGTGTAAGATACAGTAGTTGTAAGTAATAAGACAGGATTTACTCCAAATTATATATGTAAATTTAGGGAAAAGATGCTTATAGAAACATAATATTAAAAAGTTTCTGTGTCACAACTGACCTGCCCCGATTCCTACTTTAAGTATAAAGAATAAAGCAGTGGAACCCATTGACTACTTTATTTGCCTTAAAAGTTAAATCAGTCTCAGTGGCTTAGTTGGTGAAAAAATTTCAGTTCGATACAAAGGGAACATTTAACGCTTATCGACTCACGCTATCTCTGACACCGGCGTAATATTTTACTATCTACTGAGGGTCAATTAATCTGCGCTACAGCTCGCTACTTTCTACTACATGGGTGTGAAAAATTTTCATAAATGTGGAGAATATTGCATGACTAAAGGTGTTTGACCTATCTACTTTTCATGAAACCTATGAGGAATGTGGTGTTTGGGCCTAGAGTCCTAGGTAAGAAAGTTGTGCATCTTCACCGACCAGTAGTCGGGGCGTGCTGAGCCGGTAAGGTAGGTACTGACCTACCTTACTCGACAAATCACATTGGCCGAAGTCGGATTAGCTTATAAGGAAGCTAAGGTCAGACGAAGACGCGACATTAACCCATGAAGTTTATGATAGCTAGCCTGTGTCGTATGGCAATATGAAGTGAGGTACTCTCATTCAAAGTTCTGCGTTAACTTGTTTGTCTTGCGATGGAAATTCCTTTATCTCCCATTTTATCCACGAGCATTAATTTTGATATGTTGCTACATTCATCATTATGAATTACAGTAATTGAGTAGCTGTACAATTCACTAGAGTAAAATAGCCCGATGAAATAACTTCTTCATGTTCCACCTAACTAATTTGAGAAGTGGAACCAATAAAACAATAAGCCTGTGTATAAGTTATGGTTGAATGTCTGTTACCTTCATCCTAAAATAATACCCTTGTGTGTGCATTGAAGTACACTGTGCTGTGTAACAAATTTCATATGGAATGGATAGAGTTTAATGGTATTAGTCTGTAAGTAAAGCATTGAAAGACTTTAATTCTATATATCTATGAGTGGTCAACGTTTAACTGATGGGTCACGGGTTGGAACACTGCTCTATCTACCGAGATTTCGGCAACCAGGTAGTGTTATATCCCCTAAACGAAAATATGTGACTTATTACGTAGGAAAAGTAACCGCATGCGTATATCCAGTTTGAAAAGTACTGTTTTTACGTGATTGGGCCGCGGAAAAAAACCTATAAGATTTGAATTTCGCCGATGACTTATGTCTAATGTCACACAAACTTGAAGATCTACAGGCGAAAACTAACAAGTTGACAGAAGAGGTGAGGCAGCGAAGGCGGGACTTCAAGTGAATATAGAGAAGATAGAGGTGATGAAGATACCCAACCAACAACAAGCTGCAATCACCATCAACGGGAGAAACTTAAAGGAAGTAACCTCTTTCACCTATCTAGGCAGCACTGTTTCAACTACAGGTGGCACAGACGAGGGTGTCAAAGCCAGCATCGGAAAAGCAAGACAGGTGTTCACTAACCTGAAACCAGTGTGGAGATCTTCTGCACTCAGCATGTGGAAAAGGATCCGGATTTTCAACACCAATGTCAAGTCAGTGCTTCTGTATGGATCAGAGACTTAGCGCGTCACGAAAGGCATTTCCAACAAACTACAGATATTCATCGATAACTGCCTACGCTCGTTACTGAAGATCGGATGTCCAGAAAGAATGAGCAAGCAATGAACCAAGAACCTATCGCTGAACAAATATGCAGTGGCAGGAAGTGGATATGGATTGAGCATACACTGAGAAGGCCGACTGGGGACATCATGCGCCAGGCCAGGCACTCGAGTGGAACCCCCATGGGAAGCGACAAGTTGGGCGTCCGAGGATGACATGGAGATCGTGCGAGGAAAAAATGAGAGCTTCTGGGCTGTCGTGGAGCCAGGTTCAAAAGTTTGCAGAGAAGAGGGTGCACTGGAGACATGCTACTGAAGCCCCATGTTCCATTAGGAACCCAAGGGACAAATATACATATAATAGGTAATTAAGTAGTTATTATAATTTGCTTGACTGTGGCTAGTAGAAGAACCCTGGAAGCGCGTTTTGTCCTATTTGGGACTCGTCAGACCCGTCTAGAAATAAAGCTATTTTAACACCCATCTCGCAGTTGTGAGAATAAAGGATTTGCATTCGATGGGTACACTCATTTATTTGACTAAAAGCTTGAAATAATAATAAGAACCACTTTTGCTGCTTTTTATTATCGGACACACTAGCAAAAATTAGTGCAATATAACAATATCCATATCGATGTATATATATTACTGTAAGGCGGGAAATTACTATTTTTTGAAATGCAAAAACAGAAAATAAAATATATGAATAACCAACATTATGACATTAGTTCACAGTAAACTTGACTTCTAAGCATAATTTGCATTTGAATGATGAATAGACGATAATAAAAATCCGTAAAAATTTGATAGACAATCCAAGAGTGTCGAAATTAGGCACCAGTGTTCAACCTGATAGCCTTTTTGACATTATTTTTAAATTGACCAATCACATTCCCGGAGGATAATACAAGCATACCACAACTAACTTAGAATCTCTGTTTAAAGATTCTTCTGCTTCGCGTGACTGACTTGCGATGCCAACTCCAATACTTTCAGAACCTGACCATACAATTTGGGTGAAATTACCTGGAAAGCCAAATAATTCATAGTGTTAAGATTGCATCACGTTTAAACAATGAACATTTTAGTTCGTAAGTGAAACAAAGACGTATCTGAAGACAACGCTTAAACTGTTTTACGAGCTGAGATTCAAAGGTTTTCGTCGTGTAACTTAAACTCAGTGGTTCAACGGTCACATACAGAGTCTTAAACTTGACCTTAGCAGAGTATCACAGGCTGGAATGACAGTTCTCATAACCCTTAGTATGCAATTCATGGGGATCATTATTGAAATAATCAATTATTTGAAATCCTTAACTGGATGACATAAACATTATAAATTACACAGAAAGAAGTGTCCTACTAGACAGAATCAACAGGACCCTATCGAAAGAAAGGAACCAATGTTTTCCTAGTGCGGCAAACGAAATGAAGAAATAAAGGAGCTTACAATATAAAGAATAACCGCGATATAATTTCTATGTAAACTTTTGACAAACCAGCAGTCTCAAAAAAACAACTTGGGATTTTGTGCTGTAGGGTCTACTAGTGAGGTCAAATATAGCCAGTGCATCTGAAACATTGTCAAAGATTTAAAGACGTTTTATTTGCAAATTCTAACCACCAACTTTTATTGTTCTGTAGATTCCATTCACTATGAGAACATTCATTTAGTAAGCATCGAAGGCGTTCCTTTGTATGATCCTCCGATTACAGTAAGCATCACATGTATATTGAGCTGCAGTTCGTTCTATCCTGCTGTACGGCTGTGACATGGAAGCTGGAAGTAGAAGACAGGGTTTCGATCATAGGTGTCTTCGCAGCATTGCTAGCATTTGATGGAATCAGCGTGTGAGCAATGTGGAGGTCAGGCGAAAGGTTCTAGGTAATTCGATTCATAAGGTTTTGAAGCTTCATCGGTTTGGACATGTACTGCGCACGGTGAGTCATCGCCTACCGCGATGTGCCTTGCTAGGGGAATCTGGATTAAGTTGAAGGAGGGTTCACGGTGGCCAGATCAAGACTTGACAACAGTCGATAAAATCCGTGACTGTTGGTCTGAGTTAAGTTGGGAGATGTAGACTACCTGACCGATTCCCCAAGACAATAGGAATCAGTGGTTGAGGACATGGTTGAAAATCGGTCACAATGTCGCAGATGTATTCACTCCTTGACATCTTCAAAAGCTTGAATATTCGCATTGAACTTTATCTTAAAACAGTTTGTTCTCTCACACGACTTTGCCTACTTTGATATCACTTTTTTTCTATCAAGTAGTTCTTTGTGGACTACTGTGCAGTGTGGTGGCAATTTGAACCGATACACTTGTGGGTGAGGTTCTCCGTTGATTTTGTCTGTCTTTCTGCATTAAATGGCCTCAATACATCAATCCGTAAGCGTTCTCAAACAATATCTAAAACTCCACTCAATCACTTAAGGCAAATAGCTTACTTGTATACAACATTACTGACTGCTTGTCATCCTGTTAAGTGAAAAAATTAACTGCATACGAGGTAGAAGGTATAAATTTATGAATAATCACTTATATCCAAGAAGAGGGATAGGAAGATAATAGCTGGTTATGGCCTAGTTTCACAAATTTATGAACTACACCGTAAGAAATGTGGAGCAGAAGTTGTAGACGACAACGACAATTGCTTTTAAATATCCTGCTAACTGGAATATACCAAAACCAATTAATAAACAAACAATCCTTAGGATAAGTACACAACTATTGTTGGTGGATACTAGCTAGCAGTGGAATCCAGGATGCACGCTTCCTTTTAATTGGGACTCGTCAGCTGGATGTACTAACCTCCCAGTGAGCAATACTGTTCCCACCATGACTCGAACTCAGGACCGATCACATCAAACGCGTAATCCACTAGACCACTGAGTCACAATAACCACTTCTTTTGCGACGAATATAGTCCCAATGTTGTTGTTTGTATTATTCCATCGTTGAATGGACCGAATTGATCGGTCTCTATGAATATATGATCCAAACACAGGCATTATGGAAGTATCCGTACAGGACTCCGTTTGAGACCGATTAATTCGGTCCACTCAACGATGGGATAGTACAAGCAACAATATTTAAGTACACAAATAATAAAATTAAACTAAGATGAATAAGTTGTAAGAAAGTACATATTTAAGTCTTGTTTAAAAATTTTTTTTAATCATAACTCACCAATACCCTGAACACTTTCAGGTTCTACTTCAAACTTATACTTTTCTGATTCTTGATACCAATGTTCAATTAGTTCTTTACCTAGATTTGAAAAAAAAGATAAACATTTAAAGCCATATTGTGCAGAAAGTAAATTAATTTCTTGAAGAGTACAACCAATACGAACTAGTGGAAGATGATAAATTCACTTCACTTGTACAAAGTAGTTCTCAGCTTATTTATACTACCAATCAATGCTAATAACAACAAACATTACAATTTCTAGAAGCGTCCGGAGACATTCGTTTTAGCCAATATGGTTATTTATATTCCCTTCAAAATAATTCCTTTCCACATCAACTGATAAACTAACAGAAGTCAATTTCAAGTGGGATTGTGGTTCATTGAATTGCGGAGTTGACCTTCAACCAATAAGCCACGCGTTCGAACCCCACTTCACCTACTGAAGTTTAGTCGGCCATGTGGTATCATTAGCCGGCATACAATAGATGTGGCTCACTATCTAATGCAAGAATGTGCATAATGCTGAGTGCATGTCAATTTTGAGTCAGTTTCATAATATGTCGCTTATCTGACATAACACAGTGTTACTTACTGGATGACGTTTCGAGTACAATTTATTTCTCATAGTCATATTAAAGTAATCACCTAACACATGCAACATAAATGACTCGTCATATAATGCAGACATTAAAAAAAATTATATTACCACTAAAAATGGAAGAGGGTAGTGTTGCTGAAATGTAAAACCGAAATTTGAAAGTTGTGTCATCTCTTTTTAAGAGCAACAAATCTTGTTCGGAACTCTATTGAGTGAACAATGCTGTATCACTGTGTCTAATATGAATTTAAACTCTGTCAAACTGCTGAAATTTTATTGATACACTAACAATGAACAGTTTAATCAACCTAATGGATAAAATGTTTACAAAAAACTCAGTCCTATACAATCCTTGACTATAATGTAAATATAAACAACGTAATGAGAAGACGGAGATTATCTGAAATATGTGATGTATTAGCGTTATACATTTCGAATAATCTGAATTTGTTGAAGCCAATGGAATTATATTTAAGAAAGATAATAAATGCAGAACGAAAACAAGAGAGGAAAAAGGTCAAATTACCACCATCAGTAGTATATAGGGCTGAATTTAATACTACCAGGTCAGGTTTTATGTTACTATGATTTAGAACAAGACATATTAGCGAACAGTAATGTGTTGATGTTGTTGCTTGTATTATCCCGTCGTTGAGTGGACCGTATCAATCGATCTCCATTGGCATATGGGCTCCTGCGCTGATGCCTCGATATTGCCTGTCTTTGAATTATATATTCATGATGGATAATGCCTGTTGGTGGAATCCAGGACGCATGTTTCCTCCTACCTGGGACTCATCAGCTGGGTACACCTGCCTCCCAATGGGTGATACTGTCCCCAGTGGGACTCGAACTCGGAACAGACCACTTCAAGCCTCAGAGCGTTATCCACTAGACCACTGAGTCACGATAGTCGCTTCTTGTGCGACGGGTATAGTTTTAATGTTATTGCTTGTATTATCCAAAGAAATGGCTATCGTGACCCGGTGGTCCAGTGGGTAACGCTCTGGCGTTTGAAGCAAGCGGTCCCGATTTCGAATCCTAGTGGGAAGAGTATCGCTCACTGGCAGGCAGGTACATCCAGCTAACGAGTCCCAATTAGGAGAAAACGCACGTCCTGGATTCCACTGCTAGCCAATATCCACCATTAAATATTGTTTCCAACTAAACCATCTCCAAGCTTTACTATAATATAAATTTATATAAAATCATGTAGATTTCTGTGCTGTGATGATCGTTTTAAAATAACGATGATGATGATGATAATAATAATACAAAAGATTAGTTGATACATACACGATAATAATGATAATAACCAAGAAAGCAGCATGAAAATGTAGACACCCCGATAATAAAAGTGGGTCTAAAGCTTGAAGAAAATAAAGGTTACTTAATACTACAGGACGAGGTGGATAAATAAAGTCTCAGCGAATATAGAAAGTATATGAAAGGGATGGGGAAGTTCATATGATAAAGTTGTTTATTAAGGATTCTCTGGCCAAAGGAGAGTGTAGTGCAGCAAATATCTTATGGCCTATGAAAAGGGATGTACAAACCTCTTTTGAATACAAAAACTAGGATTCGTAGTTCGAATTCCCTCAGCTTCTGCCATGTGTAAAACACAAGTTCGAATATCTTTCAGAAGATGAGGTGGTATGCGGCGAATAATCTACCGCTACCAACTGGGTGAGATTAAACCGAACTTCTGACGGATTTTATCTGTCCCTTTCCCGACCATGTAGGTAGATGCTCAGCAACACGCCTGTTAAGTTTTGTAGTAGTACGCCCTTACCATTATCGTCTGTATTACAACTACTTTAGCCAACGTTATTATTTGTATTATTATTATTATTATCACCATCATTACTTTTTAGAACGCTTATCACATTAACCGACAAATCTGGATAATTGGCTTAATTTTTATGTATATTTAGCTATTTATATTGGAGTAAAATCTGAAGAGGATCTGATTAAAAACAATACTGTTCACTTATACGTCTTATTGTAATTTACATGATGGGAACTCTTAAAAGTTTTCAGTACAAATTGTTTCTGAATACATAAAAGGGGTTTGAATTTGTGGATAGCAGGTGCTTCGATATATCTAAATATTCATCCTTGACAAGATCTACACAGCACAGTAAAGTTTGTCTTCATATCAGTTTTGTGACCAGTTTCTAATATATGTTTTGCGATCGATGAGGAAGGAAGTTTGTCACCTACGCTTATCAACCTGTTAGACGTCATTTGTTTCTGGAGGCACTTAGACACATATATTCAACCACCTTCTAACTGTATGTCACGAATACTCCTCCCTATGTATATGTGTACACATATACATGTAAATTGACAGACGTAATGGGATGTGATACTGTCTTTTAAATGCTTTTTGGGTTCGTGCTGAAGCATGGGCTTTTTCTTCCCCACTAAGATGACCTTGGCTGCGTTGTGTGTCGTGCTGACAACTGATTCGAGACTTTTTTTCTCAATATTAGGCTATTCGATTCACCAATGTATGGCAATGTGATATACGCATTTGTCTTAAGGATAGAATGCTGATTAGTTGGTGTCTATGTTATACCGATTTTACATCTGTTGATAAGTTTTAATGAAAATCTATCATTTTGCACTAATGTATCAGTCAGAAATTTTGATTCTATTTCTTTTGTATCATTTGTGCAAATACAATCAACTATATTAAATAAATGTATAGCACTAACATATCATATGTTTCAGATAATCTCCGTCTTCTTATTACGTTGTTTGAATTTACCAATGGGACTAATTGTTTCAAAAAATATAAATAAATTGTACGAGCACTCACAACAAACATGTTGACAATAGTTAGCTGGACGGAGTAGATTGAATTTCTCTTAAAAATACATGTACCTCACTTGATATATGCCAACTCACATTATATATGACAGACAGACCAACGAGGAATGTGGCACTGAAGTGCATCCCTTAAAGTTGCCACACTTCACAGTACCATGCAAAGAAAAGGTGGGTAGAATAAAAACGATAAAAGACAGTAGAATTATATGAGAGGAGAGAGAATAAATACTTGAGGGTTAATGAGAAAATTCAAGGATTTGAAGATGACAAAAAGTGTAACCGACCATAAGACCCAACACAAGGTATCGAACCAATGATTACTGACATCTTGTGAACTGGTGCCACATTTTGGTCTGGTTTCCATTAGCCTTCTCCCAATCATGTCCCAATTAACATCATGCCTCGAGGCTGAGCATGTGAAACACATCTACGTCACCTAAGTTAGTGAACATTCGTTGGTCAAATAGTTCCGTGACAATATGCGAATATGAAGGAACACCGAATCAACAAATCACTTCTGCTCAGTGCACCTAACTATAGAACACCTCGCCAGCAGAACAGCTAGCCTTATTTGATGAACGTTAATCTAGCCTTTAATATATGTGCCGAGATTTCATCCGGCATTAATGTGGTCGACCATTTTGTTCCCTATTGTCAGAATGGGTATTATGCAGATCTACCATGATGCGAAAATATACTTTTGTTAGGTGTGAAATTGTCACTCAAAGTGTTCAAAAAGTTGTATTTGATCAATGTCTTTATGTGACAGGACTATATCTGCCATGTACTCTAATTAGATTAGAAAGTCAGCATCAAGGATATTCATTTCAGTGGAGACAGAAAGTAGGACCTCTATAATCATCCTGCTGATGAAGTTAAATAAAATAATCAGCATATTTGTCTAACCTTTTTTTAACGTGCATGTGATGAAAAAATGCATAATAATTAAAATATGGTAGGTGAGATATCTATCATCCAAAGGAATTAACTCACAATTATGATCCATTGGTCCATTAGACCAACGACTTCCTACATTTTCACCGAGTCTTAAACCACGATAAACAAATCCACTGTTTGATAAATGTGTTTGCTGAAGCAAATGATCAGCCCACTGTTGTGCCATATCCGTAAGATTCTGTTATAAGCGAAAAAAAGTGTGAAAAGTTAGTTTATGACGTTAGAGAAACCATTCATAACAATGACGAAGCGAACATTGAGCATAAGATATTTAGATTTTGTCTAGAAGCTCCACCAAAGCAAAGAAAATGTAGACAATATTGGTACCTCTGGTGGTTCAGAGTTCTCTGGGCTTTGATATTTTGTCGTGAAGGTTTCATCAGGTTTGGTGACATCTTCAGCACTAACTTCATAAAGAAGTGAAGCATATTCGAATCTTACACGAAAGTTCGAATAATGTTTTTATTGACCTTGAGTGTTGTCCAATTAAAAGTTGTTGGAAATGCTTTTCGTGACGCACCAGGTCTCTCAACCATCACATAGAAGCACTGACTTACTTGACTGACATTAGTGCTGAAAATCCGGATCTTGTTCAGCCTTTATGCTGAGTGCAGTAGATCTCCACACTGGTTTCAGATTGATGAACTTTAGGTTTCTCCCGTTGATGGTTATTGGTGCTTGTTGTTGATGTTGTTAGCTGGGTACCTTCATCACCTTCTCGTGTTCTCTGCCTTGCCTCCTCTGTCAACTTGTTGGTTTTCGTCTGTACATCTTCGAGCTTGTGCGAAATTACACATTAGACATATATCATCATCGTTGGCGAAATCCAAATCTTCCTCTGGGGTCTTTTCATCGGTCCAGCCAGCGTATGCCCCTCTTCTCGCTCCTCACTATTTGCTGCATGATCCAGTCCACCACAATCAGGAAGATCATCGGTGATAGTAGGCAGCCTTGTCTTACTCCTGTCTTCACTTCAAACGCGTCACTGAGCTTCCCATTGTGAATCACTTAGCATGTAGCATCGTCATATAGTTGTTGTATGAGGTTGATAAAAGTTTGTGGTACTCACTCTGTAGTGTTGAAACAGTTTCCAAATTACTTCTCGGTCAACGCTGTCGAACGCCTTTTCAAAATCGATGAAGTTGAGGTAGAGAGTTGACTGTCATTCTATGCTCTGTCCTATGATGATGCGTAGCGTTGCAATTTGGTCCGCAAAAGATTTGTACCTCCTAAAGTCTGCCTGTTCCGGTCGTAGTTTTGAGTCCAGGGCATTTTTCAGTCCCTCTAGGATGATGCAGCACAATATTTATCTGGGTGTAGACAGGACCATGATTCCGCGCCAGTTCTTGCAAAGACTCAGGTCTCCCTTCTTTAGAAGTTTGACAAGATAGCCCTTCTTCCAATCTGCAGGTACCCCTTCTCCCTTCCAAACCTTCTGCAGTAGTGGTGTGATCGTGTCCGCTGTTGTCTCTGTGTCTGTTTTCAGTGCTTCTGGAGGAATTGCATCTGGTCCTCCTGCTTTCCTGTATTTTAGCAACTTTATGGCGTTCAGGACTTCACTTCTGCTTTCGTTGGAGGGCTTTTGTTCACTGGTAGTTCTGTGGTTGGGCTGCTGGTGGTATTTCTGGATGAGTTGCAGATGGTGGTGGTGGTCGATTCAAGAGTTTTTTGAAGTGGTTAGCCCATTGTTTCCTTTTTTCTCCTCTTTGGCAACTAGGTTTCCTTCACTATCTTTCACTAGTTTCGTCTATGTTGATCTCTTCCGTCTCAGATAGTAACCTGGCTATTTGACATAGTGTTGTCAGGTCTTTCCTACCTGCAGCCTGTTTGTTCTGCTTCGAACTACAAAGAACTGGTGGATAGAAAAAAAATAATATCAAAGTAGTGTGAGAGAATAAACAATCTGAAGATAAGGGTTCGTGGAATATTAGAGCTTTAGATGTCAGAGAGTGAATACATCTGTGCCAATGTGATCAATTTCAAGACATGTCACTAAAAGTCCTCAACCACTGATTTATATGGTCTGAAGGACCCTAACCAGGCAGTGTACATCTCCGCAAATGGCTCAAACCAACAGTAAGAGATTTCATCGACTAGCACTTCGTCTTGGCCTGGCTACACTGAACCCTCTTACAACCTAATCCAACTTCCCAAATCATGGAACGTCATGACAGGCGGTGGCGTAGCATATGTCCTGCATGTCCAAACCACTTTAGTCGATAGTTTCACAACCTCATCAATCGACTTGTTTAGTACCCTTCGCCTCACCTCAACATTGCTCATATGCTGATTTCACCATTCACAATCAGTGCTACGAAGACATCTGCGATCAAAACCCAGTGACCGCTTCATGTCTTCTACTTTCAACAGCCATGTATCACAGCTGTACAACTGGATAGAACGGACTGCAGCACAGTATACTCGTCTTTTGGCAGATAGTCAGATATCTCACTAGTCGGTATCACAGATGACCAAAGTTTACAAATGCCAAACGGACCTTCTGTATCTGAGCTGAGATTTCGACAGTGACCAACCCGTTCGGGCTGATGTAAGTATGTGAAGTGGTCTATATATATAAAGTTTGACCCAAAGTACATGAATTACACAGTAAACTTATGTGTAACAGAAATAACTTGCAAATAGTTGAGTAATACAAAAGATCTGAATTCCTTTACAGGTATCTGGCATTCACTTAAGCCATATTGAAAGCAAGTTCGTGACAAATGCATATGACAGATAACAGCATTCAATGGGTAATGTTGCGAAACGAATGAATGATAAGTAAATTCCTCTGGTCACGTCTCAACACCATAATCTGACCGATCCGTAACTCTTATACCTCAATATATGCTATGTTACCAAATAGCCTTAAAAAATAAAACATTACGATAAGCACAGAATCAATTTCTTAACATAAAAGGTACGACAGAGACTATATTAAGCTACCTGATCAAGTGCCAACGGATTGGAGCCATGTTGACTACGATAATGATTGTGAAGTTCAACAATAGAGTGAACGGACTCCCGAAGTTGCTTAACACGATCCTATATGAAATAGAAACTCAGATTTAAAAGTATTTAAACAACCCAATAAATTGACAAGAAGATTCATGTAATAGGATGATAATCAAATTTGAAATGAAAATGTTTATCGCCGGAAGATTCAAAGGCTGTTCGATCTGAATACCACCACGACTTTGACTTTCATTAAAATTTCCATCACAAACCTACTATACGAAAACCAGTTTGAAAAAGTGTGACACATTTATAAAGACAAAGATGAAAGGCTTTTACTACATAAGTGAAGAACAATCATATGACATCCTTATGTAACAAAATATATGGTAAATGATAAATAATACTCTCAAACTTCTATCTTTAGTGACTCACTGGTTAATGAAGATGACTATGAACCAATGGGTCGGGGGGTTCGAGCACCGCTTCACCTACAGAAGTTTGGGCAACCAGAAAGATATAGTTCACTGCCTACTGCACAAACGTGTACAAGGTTGCTGAGTGCACTTCAATCTCAAGTTGTTTTTAAACAATTTTCAGTAAAGCCAGTGAGATCGGGAAGCACATAGTTTGATTGTATGGATTACTGGAGCTGTAATGATTGCAAATTCACCGACTACTTCACTTACATAGACAGTGAAAACAATAGTATTATAAATCCTTACACATGCAAACTGGTACGCATGGCATCATAATATCATTGCTAGTGTGACGTAAAGGTAGAAAGGTAGAATCAACCAAGACAATACGTTTATTTGGACAGAGAATAACTGTGACCCTTTACCTCATATAGTAATGTAATTGTCCTCCTGATTAATTCAGTTGTTGGATCATAGGGATTATTTGATTTGAAAGTAATTCTCAACAGGGATTAGTGTCAGTTACTTTTCAGTTTTTCTAAAATTTAGCACGGCATAAAAACTTTGTAGGTTATTCATACCTGAAATGCCACATACTGCAGCATTGAAAAAGAAAACGACGATGTTCTCGTCCGACATTTTGAAGTGAGTCACTGAAATTCGGCGCGAACTTTCTAGCTTTTGAGCAAATTTAGATGACCATAACCGTCTCCTCTCCTAACCTCCAGTATAATGTCGAAATTGCTCATTCTTAATTGGTAATATAACTTTTTATGAGCCCTTCCTGCTAATATTACCTCAATTTCTCCAGCTTTTATTCCCTTGCTACCTAGGATGAAGGCTTTACTTTATGGTACTGTATTTCTGAGCTATATCAACAACATAGTGAAGCACTGAATGTCACTGGTCTATGTCATATCAGATAACAAGGCTCACCAATTCAAACTTCAAAAATCACACACTTTAGATGTATGTTGCATTTCTTAGACATATACAGGACCTCAGTTTGCCCACACACAACAATCACTTTTTTACGGATTAAACATCTGTTCCATGTTTTCTTGTAGATGCAAGTATGCTGTGAATATTTGCATAGGAAGTGCATTTCCTGACAAAATTTAAGCTGTTAATTGCTAATGCATTCATCAGCTGAACGGTACGAAATAGAATCAGAAAGGTAGTGACATATTTCAGTGTCTTATGTAGTCTACATGTGTGGACGCAGTATTTTTAGCTTGAACGGCACTACAGATGAACTCCACTAAGATATACTTTCCTCCAAAATGTCAGTCTTATACATATGAGCGTCTCAGTCAGTGACTTCACTAAATAAAGATAAAAATAGGTAGAATAGCAGTTAAATAGTACTACCGTAATCCTATCTAGCTACTTGATACAACTATTTTCAGATAGCCACCGATCTTACTCGGTATTAAAGTGATACACCGAGAGAGAGAAGTTATTTAGGCTGCAGTAGTAATAAAATTCAATTAAGCTGTCAGTGTAACCTCGCCTGGTTAACTAGTTTACTAGTTACTAGCCGGTCCTAAGCCCGGGTAAAGAGGGAAGGTTGGGCATAGGGCTAGCAACCCTACCCCGTAAAACAAATCTAACCGCTAAAGAAACTTCAAAGCACAAACAAAATATAAAAAATGAAAACAAACTTATTCCCCGCTGGAATCGGAGAGGCGAAATGACGCCAGTTGGTGAAAGCCTTCGGGAAGCCAATTGGCCGGTGTGGCTTCTCTCTCTCAATGAAAGCGAAAGTAAACGAGGGGACATGGAATGTCCGCACCATGTTTGAACCCAGTAAGGCAGCCCAGATTGCAAAGGAGATGAGAAGGTATAACATCGAAGTGCTTGGGATTTGCGAAAGCAGATGGAATGGGAGTGGACTCTCCAAACTGTCAACTGGAGAATCAATAATCTACTCCGGTCACCCAGACGCCAACCACGAGCACACTGAGGGAGTGGCTATCATGATGTCCTCAAGAGCATCGAAGGCTCACTGTCATGCAGTGGGAACCAATCTCCTCCTGGATCATGACAGCAAGGTTCAACTCAAAAGGAAGGAAGGTCACAATCATACAATGTTACGCACCTACAAATAATGCAGAGCAAGAGAAAAAGGAGGAATTCTACAGACAACTTCAGTCAACACTGGACAAGACGTCAGTTGGCGATATCAAAATTCTAATGGGCGACATGAATGCCAAACTGGGAGGGGACAACACGGGAAGAGAACTAACCATGGGTCGAGAGGCGCTAGGTGAAATGAATGAGAATGGAGAATTGTTTGCAGAATTCTGCGCATTCAACGATTTGGTGATTGGAGGCAGTGTGTTCAGGCACAAGGATATCCACAAAGCGACATGGACTTCACCAGATGGACACACTAAAAATCAAATCGACTTTATCTCAATCTCAAGAAAATGGAGACGCAGTCTACTTAACACAAGGTCAAGAAGAGGAGCAGATGTAGGTTCAGACCACTATCTAGTGCAAGGAACCTTCCAAATCAAGTTAAAAGCCTTCAAGGAAGCTGGTGATAGACCTCAATTCAAGTACAACACTCGGAAACTGAAGGATGAAACTACAAAGGAGATCTTCAAAGCAGCCATCAAGACAAAATGGGAGACGTCGAGGGACATCCCTGAAGAAACCTGTGTGGAAGAACACTGGAAGTCTTTGAAAGCTATGTGGAAAGAAACCTGCACAACAGTATTAGGAAGGAAGAAGAAAGAAGACAAGGAATGGATCTCGACGGATACCTGGAAGCTGATAGAGGAGAGGAGGATGGTGAAGCAGAAGATAAACCAGTGCAAGGATGCTCAACGACAAGAGGAACTGAGCACAATGTATAAAACACTGGATAAAGAAGTGAAGAAGAGTGCACGCAAAGACAAAAGACACTTCTACGACACACTGGCAAGTGAAGCAGAACAGGCTGCAGGTAAGAGAGACCTGACGACATTGTATCAAATAACCAGGTTGCTATCAGGGAAGAGACCAACACAGATGAAACCAATAAAAGATGAAGAAGGAAATTTAATTACAAAAGAAGAGAAACAGAGGAAACGATGGGCCGACCACTTCAAGAAGCTCTTGAATCGACCACCACCTGCACTTCGTCCAGAAATACCACCTGCAGCCGCTGAATTACAAGTGAACATTAATCCCCCAACGAAAATGGAAGTCCTGAACGCCATAAAGCTACTGAAATGCGGGAAAGCAGCAGGACCAGATGGAATACCGCCAGAAGCACTGAGAACAGATGCAGAGACAACAGCGGACATGCTCACACCACTATTGCAGAAGGTACCTGACGATTGGAAGAAGGGTTACCTTGTCAAACTGCCGAAGAAGGGAGACCTCAGTGCTTGCAAGAACTGGCGCGGAATCACTCTCCTATCCACCCCAAGTAAAATATTAAGCCGCATCATCCTGGAGAGGCTTAAAGACGCACTGGATTCAAAACTGCGACCGGAACAGGCAGGCTTCAGGAAGTACAAATCATGTGCTGACCAAATTGCAACGCTTCGTATCATCATAGAACAGAGCGTAGAATGGCAATCAGCTCTATACCTCAACTTCATCGACTTTGAGAAGGCCTTTGACAGCGTCGACCGAGAAGTAATTTGGAAACTGCTTCAATACTACGGAGTACCGCAAACCTTTATCCGCCTCATTCAACAACTATATGAAGATGCCACATGCCAAGTAATCCACAATGGGAAGCTCAGTGATGCCTTTGAAGTGAAGACAGGAGTGAAACAAGGTTGCCTACTATCCCCCATGATATTCCTTATTGTGGTGGACTGGATCATGCAGCAAACAGTAGGCAGCGAGAAGAGGGGGATACACTGGACGGCAGAAAAGAACCTAGAAGACTTGGATTTCGCCGATGACTTATGCCTAATGTCACATAAACTTGAAGATCTGCAGGCAAAAACTAACAAGTTGATAGAAGAGGCAGCGAAGACGGGACTTCAGGTGAATATAGAGAAGACAGAAGTGATGAAGATACCGCACCACCACCATCAACAACAACAACAAACTCCAATCATCGTCAACGGGGGAAACTTGAAGGAAGTAACCTCCTTCACTTATCTAGGAAGCACTGTTTCAACTACAGGCGGGACGGACGAGGACGTCAAAGTCAGAATCGGAAAAGCAAGACAGGCGTTCATTAGCCTGAAACCAGTGTGGAGATCTTCTGCACTCAGCATGCGGAACAAGATACGGATTTTCAACACCAACGTCAAGTCAGTGCTCTTGTATGGCTCAGAGACTTGGCGCGTCACGAAAGGCATTTCCAATAAACTACAGACATTCATCAACAACTGCTTACGCTCGCTGCTGAAGATCAGATGGCCAGAAAAAATAAGCAACAAGGAACTCTGAGAACGAACCAACCAAGAACCTATCACGCAACAAATATGCAGGAAGAAGTGGAGATGGATTGGCCATGCACTGAGAAGGCCGACTGGGGACATCACGCGTCAGGCCCTCGAGTGAAATCCCCATGGGAAGCGACGAGTTGTTCGTCCGAGGGTGACATGGAGGAGGTCATGCGAGGAGGAAATGAGAGGCTGTGGGCTGTCGTGGAACCAGGTTCAAGAGATCTCAGAGAACAGAGGTCACTGGAGGCGTGCTACTGAAGCCCTATGTTCCACTAGGAACCCAAGGGACTAATAATAATAATAATAATAATAATAATAATAATAATAATAAAAGCTGTCAGTGTGTCAATCAGATTCACTAATTGTCAGTTCTAGTCCTATGAACAGGTGATTTTTTTTACCGTCTGAGTTCCTCTCAGGAAATAAAACAGATAGTTGAAGAGTTCAACTTTGTCTCAACTACCAACGTCGAAGTTTTCTACTAGAAGTCTAAACACTGTGCTCTTTAACCTCAATAAATTTAGCCCTCCATTGCTAAAAACTCGAGTTTCAATTGGTGCACATGATTCTTTAGATCAGAAATACTTTTTTAAACTTTCTATGTCATGGCATACTATTTCAATGATTACACAACTTCATAAGGGAGAAAATGGTTTCTTAAAATGTCTCACAAACTAAACCAAACATATAGTTTCAAATCTTATACTAGAATATTTTCAGTTAACAGACTGATAGGAAAACGATCAGTCACTCGAACAATTCTATTCAAATGCTTTCACTTTCAGTTAACTGCAGTATACACATTTGCCCATGTGTACGCAAACCATATTTACAAGTCCAATAAAATACAAGTTAAGTGTAAACCTTCAGATGAAGTAAGTCAGCTTTCAGTCAGTCTACAAACCCAGAAGTACTTTAGATGCTACAGTAGTTTTACATCATGATATCATTACCAATCTGAACAAAGATGTTAAATCTGTTAGATCTACCTTCTGCCTTTGACTCTTTCCCTAGATCCCTTTTATTCAACAAGCAGTCCTGGACTGCAAACTGGCTTGATCCTTATTTTTTGGAAAGAAGACACACTATATACTAAGGGGAGCGTTCTACTTTACTACTTAGTGAATCCAGTGTGTTTCAAGCTATTCTTTCTTCTTTCCTTTACTCTTTTTCTGTATGACTTACCAACCTCAACTAGAGCTAACTTTATTAAGTACGCAGATGACCCGACAGTATTCATGTTGGTCATCTCTTCAGATTTTTCTCGGTTTAGTAACTTCTTAACCGAAACTGGTCTACTTTGAACAGCTTCACGGTCAATCCCTCCAAGTGTCAGATGGTTAATTTTAGCTTAAGATATGAAAAAGACCTTTGTATATTGCTTTAGTCCCATGACTCTTGTCTTATAGATGGCTCCGCTGTAGAGGATGTAACAAGCGTGATCTATCTTGGTCTATGCATTTCTTCAGATCTTTCTTCGTTTCCTCATATCTTACTGATTTCCAGGAAAACCGTCCGCTTGAGGTTTTATGTAAAGAAACTCAGACTGTCTAGTATAACCCAGCTTCTACTCTTACTTTTCAGTAATTCATATGTTTTGCCTATACTTACTCATGGTTCTCCCTCTACTTTTTTTCTGGAATTTAGGAAAAGAACACGTATTGAGTAGGATTTTGAAGGGTGTTAGTGGAGCAAATGGTAGACCACTAAGAGTGCTGATAAATGGAGCCATGGATAGGTATCTGAACTCTTGTAGACAGCTAGCTAAGAATATTTTATCTGATGACAAGTACCCTCTGCATCCATACCTCTCCCCGTGTCTGTCCCCTAAGAAGACAAGAAGCGAATATATTAAACTCTATGCACGCACAACTACATACAAATTCAGCCATACCTTATTTAGCTTGTGGAATGTGTGGAGAAAATCATGTAGTCATATAGTCTTATCAATCAACTTTCCAATAGTGACCAGTTATCACGACCCCGAAATCATTAAACGTTTCAACAGTCCTGTTATTCTTTATTACGCATTGTTAAACAGAACTATTGTCAACATATATTTGAAAAATGTTGTACAACGGGTAAAGTTATACATGCTGAGAACTATGTACTGTAAATGTAATTATTCGTTCGAATTAAGCAAATATATTATTATTATTACTATTGTTATTATGAGTATTATTTCTCAATGCCAGTATTTTGTCAAGCTTGCATTGAAATAGGCAGATAAGGACCTAAAGATAGGCACTTTAACTTATGATTAATTGATTTTTATCTTTTCAACGACAATACGATCCAACTACCCCCGAACAGCTACAAAACGTGGTGAATTCTGCACATAACTAGATAGGAGACAAGAAAACCACGATAGTTACTTTCCTGGAATCGTCATCAACAGTAACTTGTTCCCTAGGAACCAAAAAACTAATTCATAACACTTATACAGGTCCTGAGATAACATTTTTGGTTTTCCACTCCATAGCAGTATTATGTTGTGGTGTCCTGTTGAAGAATGAACGTGGAAATACTAGTCTATTTTTAAAAGAAGAATGTTCGTCTAAGTCTTCTATATATTGGCAAACTTACTATCAATTCTTGTATATTTATTTACTCAACGTGTGTATCTTCAATCACGTCATATCAATGTTATTTTTATTCTAGGCCGATAATTTCCTACCAAATTGATTTAAATATGGAAATTTCCTAGAGATTGATGTTAGTATTCTTTTAGGTTGTAAGCAGCTGATGAGAAACCACGAAACAAAATGGGTTCATGCTATCCTGCTAAAGCCCTTGTTCTCGTTCTATTCATATGAACTCAAAAGGTTAAAGCATGCTTTTCACGCTTCTCTTCATGTCTGTCAGCTGAAAAAATAAGATTCCACCGCAAAGGATTTTAAAATAATAATTATAATCTTAAACAACCGTAGTAGTAGACAAGATTCTTAGGAACCATACATTTTACGTTAGAATCCACTAAGTGTTGTAGTGAGAAGTCGTGACTAGTAGGGTCAACTAAGTCGAACATGAGGACAGTTACTCGACGATGCCAGTGGATGAAGGTCACACTACATCGTGAACTGATAGAAGTAGGAAATATGGAGCATTGGACTGTGACCCAGTGACTCAATGTTAACCTACTGGCCACGGAACCTGAAGGTCCTGGGTTCGATCCCTGGCGGGGTCATGGGTGTGTGCCCCTGAGGAGTCTCATACTAGGGAAAAACAGCTATCCAGTGCTTCCAGATTTCCAAAGTTTCTCCAAACGATAAAAACCGACCTGAAATCGACAAGAAATGGAAATGAATTGACTAAGTGTATGAAAGCAAAGGCAAAGAATAAAGGGATCACACAAACAACGATATAACCTGGTGACCAACTAATCATGAACGATATCAAGACAAACTGTTTTCAAGTAAGCAGTTTTCGTGAACTATCTCTTTAGTGCCATTGATTGGTCACTGGAAGGTTACCAACTTCATGTTGTCTATTCCCATGTGCTGATCGAATTCTGCCCATCATTTTGCAATGTGGCCACCAGGCTAGGCAGCTCAGCATCGCGATGGACTTTGATAGATGTTAGCTGGATGGACGCAATCAACAGGAAGCCCTAGACCTAGGTTTCGTGCTTGTTGGCAGTTGTCACCAAGGCGTATCTGCAACCTCCATCGAACTGATGTCCCGCCTGAGATTCGAACCTGCATCAACGGGTGATGCAGTCAAAGGCGTTATCACTGTGCTATCCGGGCAGCGACTGACCTCCTGTAGGACTGGATTAGATACATTGGTTGGTCACTAGAGGGTAACTACATATTGTCCATTATCAGCATAAGGTTCAATATTACTGGCGTAGGCTTTTTCAATTAGCGAACTACAGTCATTTCCTTCATTCATGGCGAAGTGATCAAGTTAGTAATACTAAATACACTAACGATGCTAACGCAATAAGACACGTCGACTAGGTAGGAATCATGACTGTTCTCCAACATAATCTTATGCTTCACTGAGCTGAGGAGATCAGAAAGCTGAAACCGGCCCATGACTGTAAGGCAGACACTTTATTCGACAAAAACATATCATTAATATACAGTTTTCATAATCATATAAAAATGCTAGGTCAAAAGTTAAATAGCTTATTTTGATCGGTCAACTGTAGGGTAAATTGTCCGATAAGGTTTTTTTCCTGACCACACAGTGACATGAAACAAAAATTGAAATCCAAAACTTCTACCTTAGCGGTTGATGACTTAAAATGCTAATTTTCATTTAGCTAGTTTCCTATCACATGACAACAACCAGCATTACCAAACAATCCTTTTAGGATATAACAACTTAGCGAAGTGTTATTGAAAGTATGCAAAACAAATTCATTGAAAATTTCAATCTAAACATTTAGACGAAGACTAGTGGAGCGAAGAAATATATTCCTTTTCAAATAAAAAAAAAAGGGAAAATGAATATATTTCTTCATATAACTAAGTTTTTGTGACAACATAAACATTAGATACATTTTTTTCAGTTCGATGACAGTCTTCTGCTGTGAAGCATGTGAAGCATGAACAAGGGATATTTTAAATTGTAATAATAAACAAATGTCAATGAATGTGGGTGAAATTCTAAAAAATATGGGTTGCAAGAACATAGATCACTTCATTTAGCATATATCTAAACATATGTAGTAAAAATCACATTCATTTGAAAGACTCACAGTATGGCGATCTTTTTGTGAATCGTTAGACGCCATAATAGTTTGATCTTTACGAGCATCTGTATATATTTCATTGATGCATCTTCTCGTCTAAAATAAAATAGAAACAGATACTTCAATGTTTGGTAGTAACAACCAAATCTTAAAAAATAGAACTGAAAAACAGCCTGACAAACTAATCTGTACATAACATCTAATTTGAATTCATATATTACATTTTCTTCAAACAGTAGCCTACTGAGAAAATGAATATTTTGAATACCAAAGGTAGGTTATCATGTAAGAGGAGATAAATCGGTTTATTAGTGTTATTATGATTTATCTACTAAAAATGTGAAAAACACGAAAAGAAATGAGAGATAATTAATTAGTAATTAAAATGAAATGAAATTACCTTCCCTTTTTCATCAGTCGATTCTGAGATTTCTCTTCGAACGTTATATAGTTTACCGTCATTTTCTGTCAATGTTTCAGTGATCACTGTTTTTGGAATATCTAATCGGAGAAAAAAAATATATCAAGATTTGATTAAATACACACTTTAACTTATTGTTATTATTCAAAAATTTAAAAATTAGCAGAATTTGCTAAGAATGAATAACTAAGCAAATTAAATTAGTACTGCAAGTAAGAGTAAACCAAATAAACTGGAGTTGTTCTTTGAGTTTCTAAAGTCATCATGAAGTAATGTTATGTACAAAAAATAGTCTGTTTGACACAAAGTGAAGCATCTAATCTAGTTGGGTGGAATGTGATAAGAAGATGGTTGAATAGTAGATCAAGAATGCTATGATTTAAAGTAATGTTATCTGAACTATTGATTTACTGCACTCAAGGCACAAGTATTCACGAAACCCAAAAATGATGATGAGGAACACTGAAGCATTAAACAAATCCCTAAAATCAGTGATCTACACAAATCAATAATGCTCTAGATTGAATGCTGACCTTCATAGGATAAAGGAGCTGAAGATATGACATCAAACGAATATTGCTATATTACGTTGTGTTCTACGTGTACTGTTCGCTATAACTAGTCAGCTTACGTATCTCTGTTCGCTGGGACAAATATGAAGATATACCTTCTTTTTCAAATGACCAACTTGTTGTTAATTGATTTGATAGTCGCTAGCTGCTGACTGCTACAACGAATTAGTGGTCAATATCTGCATCTTCTAAAAGGCTAGAGAGTGGACTTTCAATTTGTTGTCGAATATTGCCATTTACCGAAGTTATACTTCTACTTGTACAAAAGAAACTTCAAACAATATGAATAAATACCAACTAGTTAATACTGCACGCCTGGTCAAGAATCAAAATGGAGTTTAATGGGTGGCTAATAACTGCTTAATAATGTATATAAGGTAGTTTTTCTACCTCCTTCTCTATAAACTTCCTCAAAAAAGGAGTGTAAATCATCGCAATATGGTACAGATCATCAGTATACATACTTTAATGCTATATGATAACTGCACTGGCAAGCATACTCCACTTTAGAGGAGTGGAAAATACTCAGCTACTTACATAGGTAAGTGATAATGCTAAACTGAATGATGTAGTTTCGAGATTCCAATAGAATATGAGTTCGCACAAAGATGCACAGGTGCCTTTCTGATGGGAACTTAAGTATACTTCTTGTAATATACATTGAATAATTTCAATCAAAAACCAACAATATTAGCAGTTGACTTACCAATATTTAATGCAAAAGCGTTATCTTCTGATTGTTGCACGCTTTCTTCTGCTGATTCTTTGGGGCGAAAGACATTCTCCAAATATCGACCTAATACATTTCCTGGAGGACGGTAGTGAGCTACAACAACACATTTCCCAGGACCACGAGCTTTGCCAAAGCCCACTTCACGAGTTGAATTCCACACTAGCTGAGTAAAGTTTCCTAAAAAGGAATCAGTACTGTGTGATTAAGATAATACATAGAATTTAAGCGTTTAACTATCAAAACCAATTGCGAAATAATGGCATAATGCTTACCTGCAGGTCCTTTCCCATTTTCATAATTGTAGTTCTTGACATCAGCATACCACTGATTTACAACTTCATGGCCTAAACAGTATGATAATGAAACAAAAACGAAAACCTTGGATATCCACATGGCTTCCTGTGCTTGTCCGCACACTAATACTTTCACCAACTTCACCTCGACTAGAAAGTGGGCTGTTTTTTATTCCATCCTCAGATATAAGTTCTTCAGCCCAGTCCTGAGCTGTTTTATCTAAGGCACGGCTATGTCTTAAAGCACATACACCATGAGCAATTCTTTTTGTGTTATGTTCCTTTAAACAATCTTCGATAAAATCATCTAGATGATGCATCTATTAAAAAAATAATAAAATGTATTGGCCTAAATCTATTAAATCGAATCACTGAAACTTTTAAAGCGAATTAATTTATACAAACTAGATCACTACACTGATATATTCTAATTTGTGAGCATGATTAAAAAGTAGTATGTGGCAGCTTGTGGCAACTGTAGAAACATGATACATAAAATTTTGCAATGATCGAAATGAGACTATTGTGTTATTTTCCACATCGATGCACTATAATTTCTACTCTAAAACATTTGAACAGTTGGATTAACAACCCATGCTACCTCATTTATCTCAAAGCTTAAAATCATTCACATATCTCGTCACGTTCCTGCATCCATTCCAATTATTATATTATTATTATTAGTCCCTTGGGTTCCTAGTGGAACATAGGGCTTCAGTAGCACGTCTCCATTTCATCCTGTTCTCTGAGATCTTTTCAACCTGGTTCCACGACAGCCCACAACCTCTCATTTCCTGCTCGCACGACCTCCTCCATGTCACCCTCACCACGGACGAACAACTCGTCGCTGGCCATGGGGATTCCACTCGAGGGCCTGACGCGTGATGTCCTCAGTCGGCCTTCTCAGTGTGTGCCCAATCCAGTCCATCTCCACTTCTTCCTGCATATTTGTTGCGTGATAGGTTCTTTGTTGGTTCGTTCACAGAGTTCCTTGTTGCTTATTCTTTCTGGCCATCTGATCTTCAGCAGCGAGCGTAAGCAGTTGTTGATGAATGTCTGTAGTTTATTGGAAATCCCTTTCGTAACGCGCCAAGTCTCTGAACCATACAGGAGCACTGACTTGATGTTGGTGTTGAAAATCCGCATCTTGTTCCGCATGCTGAGTGCAGAAGATCTCCACACCCGTTTCAGGCTAATGAACGCCTGTCTTGCTTTTCCGATTCTGACTTTGACGTCCTCGTCCGTCCCGCCTGTAGTTGAAACAGTGCTTCCTAGATAAGTGAAGGAGGTTACTTCCTTTAAGTTTCTCCCGTTCATGGTGACTGGAGTTTGTTGTTGTTGTTGATGGTGGTGGTGCGGTATCTTCATCACCTCTGTCTTCTGTATATTCACTTGAAGTCCCGTCTTCGCTGCCTCTTCTATCAACTTGTTAGTTTTTGCCTGCAGATCTTCAAGTTTATGTGACATTAGGCACAAGTCATCGGCGAAATCCAAGTCTTCTAGGTTCTTTTCCGCCGTCCAGTGTATCCCCCTCTTATCGCTGCCTACTGTTTGCTGCAATTACTACCGATTACTACCAATTACTACCGCCCATTAAATCAATGAAGTATCTTGTTACGTACATCGCTAAACATGCAGGAAAGGTAAGACCACAGTGAGTAGACAATCAAGTAACAGAACAAGTTACAGACTCACTTGTCAGTTTTTCTCTGTTCTATCGCTAAGTCAGTTATATGAAAGTAACTCAACCAAATATTCTACTCCTAACCTTGTTAAGAACTATCTACAGATTGACAACCTTTTGAAACAAAAGCATTAACTCGAAGAATTTCATATATATATTTCATAGAAAACAAAGTGTGCGGCATACTGCAATAAAATTTTAACAATCTGTTTACACCGAAAGGAAAAATTAAATACCTAGTAGTAAAAATTATACATCTACACCGTTAAATTCAGCTTGAGCCATAACTAATCGATCTAAGTTAGCTTATTCGATATGACAGTGATGCAGTCTGATTCACAACATGACATTTCGAGCACAATTCACAGCTCGAAATAATCACAGCTTTTAAGCTCCGCTTTTAAAACCCAATATCATCTTATTTTTATATTTTGGGAGGTAGCAGAATTTTCCAAATATCTGCTATGTGTGATAGATTATTTCCGTTGCATTTATTAAGTTGTAATTCAATGAACGAAGATTCAGCGATCAACATCTCTCCCTACCTAACTAGATTGCATTTCAGAACTGATACCTCATTTCACCGAATAGTGTAATTATAAGTCAGTACGTGCAAGGCGATAACACAGCCTTTTCGAAGTTACATATCTTAGTTAGGTCCATTATTCTATATTTCCCTAAATGTTTGTGCTTTCATATTATAAATGACTCCAATTCGTTACTTTGGCTTATATCCTTGACCTTATAATCGATGTATGGTGTCCAACAAATAAGGTTATCTTGCATAATTTGGCCAACCCAATCCTTTAGCTTATATCAAATAAAATAATCTAATATGGAATTGTACCCTGCCACTTACACTAATCAACCTGGAAGTTGAAGTAACTAGCTTTTCAACAAGACGCTTTGGGTTTGAAGTTTCGACAACCAATTGCTATCACTGAACCAGCAAGCAATGAGATTCTTTATCTACTACACAACCCTATACTAGGTTGCTGAACAATCATACAACGATGAAGGGCAGCGTAGTGCAATACGTGGGAAAATGGTAACCCAGAAATTTTAAGCTGACTTAAGTGTTAGTAGAATCTGCAAGCCATATATGATACCTCCAGAATCATCTTAATAGCTTAATGTTACAAAAATGAAAGGTTGGGAAAATCCCGCAAGACAAACATTTAGAAGTCAACATAATGAAAACTGCTTAAGACTGTCGGTTTTCTAACCAGACGCCGATGGGAAGCATAGAAATAAAGCCAGCCAACAACAAAGCAGTGAATATATACATATTGTACAACAAACCGTACTTACTACAACCTCATCCAATAATAAAAAATGATGCAGGATTAAAAGGTGCCAGCTGTAAATGCTTATTTTACCATCAGTAGTTATCGTAGACAGGAAGGTGATCCACTCTGTTGGCAAGTTTACGGGTGTATTTGATCAAAAAAGTGCTTTACAAGGCACGTGCTCACAAATTTAGCAGATGATGTAAAGAAATGTGGCACTGTGGTTCTTCTTGCCGATTTCCTTTCTGAATCCTTCATGTGTTTATGAATCATGGATGACCACAACAACCATTGGATACACAGTATGTATCCAAATAGGAGTTAAAAGTTTCATAATTCTTTCTTACAAGAAACCAGAAGGCACTTTCCACAAAACTGAAACCCCTACACACAACGAAAATTGCCTAACTTCGGTAACCATCCGGTTCTTACTTTCAAAAGCCGGCCGGTACTATCAATGAAAATGTGATGCCCATAAATTGATCTTTAAAATGCATGACTTGTAACGTGAATTAACTTAAGCTAAACATATGGTGCCGGTCTAGATACTTCCTTCCCTCTTGACTGTACGCAGTAATTCACATTGCAATATACCATTGGGTGTGTCATCCATTTTGCACTCAGGAGAATTCAGGCGTACTTCACAACTTTTCACAATTTCAAAGAAAATCTCAGCTAGCATTTATTTCGCATGCAATTTACTCGATTTGGGCAAAAACCCGAATTTTACTTTAGGTTGGAATGGAAAGATACATGATATTCCCAAGATTTCTGAACTTTTTCCACGAAGTTCTAGAACGCTCCCAAGGACCCGAGATTCGGTGAGTGCGCTCGAAGTAGATACGAGCTAGAACCAGAAATTTACAAAGTCCTCACAAAGCAAATGCTAGGTGGGATATATTAGTTTCACGAAAAAGATGTGCATTTCTGTGTATGGCTATTGTCTACAATTAACTTTTCACTCAGTGTCAAACCGCGGGCTTGCATTATTCCTCCCTGCCCTTATCAACTTAGGAGAATTAACAAGAAGAGACTTATATAAAAAAGAGGTGGTCTGAAGTGATCATATACAATTCAATTTTTTCGGTGTATCTTTGTCCTTATATAATATGACCTACAACCCCTGTAGATCGGATAATTTACAATGGACGGTCCCCCGATCAGTAAGAAATGCGCTTTAGGATAGTACGAAGACTTTGCATACTTTAGTAACCCACAACCATTAGCATTAAGAATGGAGAGAATCTCATAAAAACTTACAGAGTATTAATGCGGAAATTCCCTCCCTCCAAATTATGCCTCGCAAATGACCTTGAGTGCTGGTCGGACTAAAGCTACAGCAAACACCCTAGTTGGTCTTCATAAGTAAAGACAGTATATCAGTGACCTATGCTAACCTTCACTAGTTTCAGCGTTGTTATTTTAAGGGTATCAATGGGAGGTGAACCAACGATGAGCTTCTCTAAAGTTTGTTCCGGTTTTACATCCCTGCGCTAGGAACTAGTTCCCGGACAGACTATACGATAGAGGCTTCCAAACCGACTGGTGACGTTTCTTTATGTGGTCAGTTACAAGGGAGAAGAGGAGACAAGATAAGTTAGCACCCAAACCACTGTTTAAGAGTTAGGCTGGTATAGGCTCTCTCCTGGACCCGCTTCATTCTAAACTTCAACCCTTGTGTATCAGAAATCTAAAACGGGAAGTTCCTAAGGCTCCTAGTTCACGGTATTGCAGGACTCAGCTGGTGTATGGAATGTCAGAGTTTTGTTTCACCACCTCGAGAGACTTCGGATGACACTGAGATTATTTTGGGTAGCCTATTATTATTATTTTATTAGCCCTTGGGTTCCTAATGGAACATAAGGCTTCAGTGGCACGTCTCCAGTGACCTCTGTTCTCTGAAATCTTTTGAACCTGGTTCCACGACAGCCCAGAATCTCTCATTTCCTCTTCGCACGATCTCCTCCATGTTGTATCATTTTATTTCACTGTATTGTGTTGATGTATGAAACAACTCATTGAACATTTTTTGTTTAGTTGTACTGAAAAAGACTTTTTGCTCGCTCGTTGACTAATACAACATCCTGATATATACTTCGCGTTAACTCCTGATATTTACGCTGTCTGACGCAGGTGGATCAGCAGTGTCGGGAATTATAAATAGGCGATAGTGTATCTGGACACGTATAAAAAATTTGGAGTCAGATTTCAGAGCTCGACAAACTGGTGAGCCCGACGTGATTAAACTCTCTTGAATACTGCAACCGGTCATTAATGACTGTATACAATACGGATATACATATACACTGAGAATTTCTTTGGCTGCTTTGTGGTAGGCATTGACATACTTGTTTATCGTATTTTTCCTGCTCTTGTTCTTAAATATTTTTTTTGCTGTACCAGTACTGATGTCCTTAAACTCTCATAATCAAGACTTTTCGAATTTAGGGTCCGTGGGTGCCATTAATCTTCCTATGCCTTGTTTTAAGTTTAATGACCCGCAATTGTGGTTTGTCCGTCTAGAACATTTCTTCATGGCCAATCATATAACTTCACAAAACACAAAGTTCGGATACACAAGCTCTGTTTTGCCGGAAGAAGTGGCTGAACAAGTAAGGGAGACACTACTAAAGCCCCACCCAGACACACCTTATGATGTTTTGAAGCAGGAGGTGCTGAAAGCTACTTCGTTATCTGACCAGAAGGCTGTCGATCAACTACTAAGTAGCATATGCCTCGGTGACAGAACACCTTCACAACTTAAGCGACATATGCAAAGTCTGCTGAAAGATAGGAAAGTAGACAACCGTTTATTCTACCAGCTCTGGCTGCGGAGACTTCCTTCATGCATTCAGCAGATATTAGCTGTCGGAGATGCGGACATTGACATTGACAGGTTGGCTGACATCGCTGACCGTATGTACGAAAGGATGCCTAAACCGGTTGAAAGTATTGCTGAGCCAACGCAAAACGACCGAGTGGCCGCTTTAGAGAGGAAGATAGACATACTTACAGGACAACTGACGGCTTTGCAGTTAAACCGGTCACCGAAGTTCTGTAGAAGCAGATCCCGTAGTCGTGATAGGACCACGAGTAGAATTGCGTCTAAAAGTAGCACGTGCTGGTATCACAAGAAGTTTGGCAGTAAAGCACGTCGTTGTTTGTTACCATGCGATTTTAAAACCTTTTCATCGGGAAACGGAAAGGCCGGCGATCAGTGACGACTGCTGTCGCCGGCGTACAACAACACAGTCGTTTGTTTCGAGTGACGGATAGGAAGACTGGAGCTCAGTTTCTGGTTGACACTGGAGCGGAAGTGAGCGTGATCCCACCCACACCTTCCGAAAAACGCCATCCCAACCCAACTTTGGTACTACAAGCGGCAAATAGATCTGCTATTACTACATATGGGACCAGAATTTTGATCCTAGACATTGGCTTTCATACACCATTCCAGTGGGAATTCGTCATAGCTGACATATCGTCGCCTATCATTGGCATGGATTTCCTTCAACACTACGAACTATTGGTCGACTCTAGTCGCCATAGACTAGTCAGCCGTAATGGTGAATTTTCTATCACCGGTATCGCTACGGAGACAAAAACAATAAACTTAGTCGTAGCTCCAATAAACAACACTTCCGAGTACGATATCCTTCTGCGAGAATTTCCCGAGCTCACTCAAACGGATTACACGAAGTCCTCTCCAAAACATACGGTGACGCACCATATTCTTACAAAAGGTCCTCCAGTCTCATCAAAACCTCGACGCTTAGACCCTAAAAAGCTGCAGATAGCAAAACAGGAATTTGATAAACTTCTAAAGTTGGGAGTTATACGCCCTTCCAAGAGCCCATGGTCATCACCCCTGCATATGGTACCTAAAAAAGCATCAGGGGAAATACGGCCTTGCGGTGATTATCGAGCGTTGAATAAGCGTACGGTCCCTGATAAGTATCCAATTCCTCACATACATGATTTTATGAACTCTATGACAAAAGTAAATATTTTTTCCAAGATTGACCTCGTGCGAGCTTACTATCACATTCCTGTGGAACCCAATGATGTTCCTAAGACGGCCATCACTACCCCTTCGGACTATTCGAATTTATTCGTATGCCGTTTGGTTTGACAAATGCTGCTCAAACATTCCAAAGATTTATAGATCAGGTACTCCATGGCTTACCTTTCGTCAGTGCATACATAGATGACTTAATAGTAGCTAGCGCATCTGAAACAGAGCACCTGCAACATCTGAGGACGCTTTTCGAACGACTGCGTGAATATGGCATTACAATCAATCCGCAGAAATGCGAATTTGGCAAGGAATCCCTACAGTTTTTGGGTCACATTGTTAATGCCAACGGTGTTAAACCGGTTCCGCAAGAAGTAGATGCAATTCGAGAATATCCTGTTCCAGACTCGTTTCGAAAGCTGCGAAGATTTCTGGGGTTAATAAACTTCTATCGACGTTTCATACCTAAATGTGCTGAAGTAGCCCAACCGCTGACAGATTTATTGCAAGGACGAGCCAAAGTGTTTCACATGACCCAAGCGGCCCATGATGCTTTTGACAAACTGAAGCTGGCTCTAAGTTCTGAAACTCTTCTCTCTCGTCGTGATTCAGAAGCACCACTAGCCATCATGACAGACGCTTCAAATGTTGCGGTAGGCGCAGTACTACAACAGTTTGTTCACGGTCAGTGGGAACCATTATCTTTCTTCTCGAAACGACTTAATGCTTCTCAATCGCGATACAGTACATTCGGCAGAGAGCTACTGGCGATTTACTTGGCTATCAAGCACTTCAGATATATGCTCGAAGGGTACTCATTTATAGTATTCACCGACCATAAGCCACTCACAAAAGCAATTGATGCAAAGCATGACAACTACTCGCCCCGAGAAATTCGACATTTAGAATTTATTTCACAATTCACTTCAGATATAAGGTATATCAAAGGCAGCAAAAATGAGGCAGCTGATGCTTTGTCTCGTATGTACGTAAACGTCTTAGAACGTGACCGTATTGACCTAGCAGAAATGGCAAAGTTGCAGGCCACGGATGAGGACTTGAAACATTTGAAAAACAATGTGAACACCTCATTACGTCTTGAAGAAGTGACACTTGATGACTCTGTATCCATCACCTGTGATGTATCCAAGGGTAAACCGCCCCGTTTGTGCCGTTATCAATGAGACGATTAGTCTTCTCTAAGATGCATGGCATTTCACATCCTGGTATTCGAGCTACGGTGAAGTTAATTACTGACCGATACGTCTGGCCAAAGATGAATCGAGATCTTCGACAGTGGTCCAGAGCTTGTTTAGCGTGCCAGCGATCGAAAGTGCAAAGACATATTCTTTCACCTACGGGAAGATTTTCCCCACCGGATGGCAGATTTGACCATATACACGTTGACATCGTTGGACCACTACCTCCGTCAAATGGTTTTAGCTACATTTTAACATGTGTAGACCGATTCACGAGATGGCCAGTGGCAATACCTCTGCAGGATATATCTGCCGAAACAGTAGCGAGAAATATCATCCAACACTGGATTTCTAACTTTGGTGTCCCAAGTGTCATCACCACAGATAGAGGTGCGCAGTTCGAGAGTAGTCTATTTCAACAGTTAACTGAACTTCTCGGGATCAAGCGCATAAGAACCACTGCGTACCATCCTGCATCCAATGGTATTGTCGAAAGGTTCCATCGACAACTAAAAGCAGCACTGATGGCAGTAAAGACTGATGACAAGTGGAGTGACAAATTACCACTAGTACTCCTTGGTATACGTTCGAGTGTCAAGCAGGACATTGGCTGCTGTACTGCTGAGTTAGTTTATGGAACTACTTTAAGATTGCCAGGAGAGTATTTTAACCCGGCAACAGACGTTCCACCGGACTTGACTAACTATGTACAACAACTACGGCGACACATGAGCACACTTCGACCTCAGTCCCCACGATACCGAGACAACCAAGTTTACGTACCTCAGTGCATCTCAAACTGCACTCACGTTTTCGTCCGACACGACGGCGTACGAAAACCCTTACAGCCCCCGTATGAAGGACCTTTCAAGGTAATTAGTAAATCAGACAAAGTTGTCACGGTCGAACGCTCGGGTAGACGAGAAACGGTCAGCATTGATAGAATCAAACCAGCGTTTATGGAACCAGATGTCACGGATACCAAGTCTGAACCCGCAGTGAAGCAACCGGAAACACCGGAAACCACCGTCAAAACAGAAACAACGGCATCGGAATCACCCAATAATAGCGACGGTAGCAGAACCACGAGATCCGGAAGAAGAGTCCGTTGGCCACGACGTTACTTTCAGACAATTTACATTTCATAAAACCAATTCCCTAGTAACATTAT